AGGGGAGGTTGGCTTCGTGATTTGGACTTTCTCCAATTCTAGCCTCAGGCCTTCAATAACCTGTATCAATTCTTGGTTTTGGTTTTCCTGGCCTTCAGTAGCCTGGATTTCCTTTGCAACAGCTAAAGGTGCTGCTTCAATCGAAGTCTCTGGTTGCTTGTGGACGTCTTCAGTGACCCCCTTATTGACTTCGACTATCACCCAGCTTTCATTTTCAGTACCTTTCTCTCCTACTGGAGCGTCACTTTGGTCAGCTTCCACCATGTTAATTTCTCCAATGCATGAAGGCTCGGAGTAATTGGTGTCTGCGACGTCCAAAGGGTCTTCGTCCACTTTCATTTTTGCTTTATCAGCAAACTTCAGTCTGCCATCTTTAATTGCATTCTGAATTAGGTCCCTGAAAAGAAAACACAGTGAGGTTTTGTGGCCTAGGAAACTATGATACTTGCAAAATCCTCTTTTCTTTCTTTGATCTAAAGGAGGTATTTTGACATTTGATGGCACAATGAGTTGGCCATCTTTGACAAGTAAATCAAAAATCTCGTCACACTTAGTGACATCGAAGGTATAAACCTTCTTTGGGAATTTGTCACTTTTCTCATTTTCAACAATTTCTTTCCCTTTTGTGGGAACTAATAATTTGCAGGAGTAAGGTGGTGCCTGTTTTAATTCAGCGAGGTCGATTTCGACCTCTTTGAATTCGAATTCAGGATAATCTTCTGCTTCCTCAGTTCCAACATAGGAGATCCTTTCTTTTTTGTTATTTTTAAATACTCTGGCCTTTTCGGCCTTTAGCCTTTCGACCTGTCGAACCCTATCGGCTAATTGAGCCATATCCCTCAAGTATTGAGTGTCTAATTTCTTTCGAATAGAGTAATCCAGGCCGCCAGCAGCCATTTCGACTAACTCATGTTCAGGCACTACTGTAAAGCATCTAGATTTCAAGAGCCTGAATCTATTCAAATAATCATCTATGGATTCAGTGAACTTCCTCTTGACACTGGCTAGTTCCTTCAGACTTATTTTTGATTGTCCCATGTAGAACTGTTCATGGAACAATCTCTCCAAAAGAGCCCAAGTATCAATGGACCCAGGAGGCAAAGTGGTGAACCATGTGAAAGCGTTCTTAGTCAGGGAACTTGGGAAATATTTGATCCTGAGGTCTTCATTATTGGCTATATCTCCTGCTTCGGTTAGATACCTGGCTATATGTTCGACTGTTGACTCATTGGTATCCCCAGCAAACTTTGTAAACTTAGGGACTTTATATCCCCTTGGTAAATCAGTGTGCATTATGTAATCTAATATAGGGGAGGCATAATTTGGCCTTCTAATTCCTGTGTTGAGGCCATTCTGGGCCATGATTCTCTCTATCATGGTGGTTAAATTATTTTCTGCCAAGATGTTATCGTTTCGAATTCTATGAACGACTGCATCAGCATCTTGATTTCGACCCACCATGACAACCCCTCTAGGTTGTTCTTCTCGAAACTCTGGGACTTTCAGCCTTTCGACCCTTGCCCCTGGTTCCATAATTTCCCTTTGTGGGCCTTGGATCATTGGGGCTTCTAGCCTTTGTGCCCTTGCCCCCAAATTAACCTCCTCTCTGGCTGGTCTATAGGGTGGGTCGTTAGCAACTTGTTCTATAAAAGGTACGTTCGCTCGAACTCCCGCCTGATTCTGCCTACGCCTCTCTGGGGGAGCGAAGAAATATGCTATTCGACTCATGTTATCCGCGTTTTCTCTGTTTGTCACAGTCACATTTTGTACTATTGGGGCAAATATCTCCTGCATAGTTTGTGCTAATACTCCTATCATATTATGGTTACTGTCATCCATCAATTGCCTAAAAGCTAACTGATTTTCTGTGGTTAAGATATGCATTGCACTATAGCCCACTGACCCTTGGTTATTTGTCATAAACTGATTTGCCCCAGACCCAAACCCTAATTGTGGTGATGAATTCGATGTGGAATTGTGTAAGCCTGCCATAAAAGATGTTGGCATTCCATAAGAGGAATTTCTGGTTCTATTACCATCGAAACCGGGTGGTCTAGTTAGTGGGGTGGCGAAATGGGTTTCTGTCCCTGATGGTGGGACGAATCCCCCAGGATAGCCAATGGTTCCAGTATTTCCTAGGATCGAACTATTAGTTGATATGCCACTTATTCCATTAGTGGCTATATTACTGGTAGAGGATGCAACAGACTGTGCATTTGAAGGGATCACATTAGATGTTCCCATCAAAGCGGACATATTAGTGCCTGTTGTATGTGGGGCATTTTGTTCCCCTTGTTGATTGTTAGAATTAGACATCTTGTTCAAACGTTTTCTTCTGGATAATGGTTGGTTGCTATTGGTTATTCTACCACTTCTAAGGTTCATAAAACAACAAACTTATCGCTCAGAGAGTATTTTTACAATGGTTACGTCTCAACAATTTTTATTTTGTTCTAAATTTCGTAATGGCCAATGACGCGTCCCACCGGGTGTGCCAATTTGTTTACAGTTATTTCTGGTAAACAATCGCTAGTCCTCCAAACTATCGAATAATCTTAATGACTGTTATTCAATCTCTCTGGTAACTTGCAGGATCGACTAGATTGATCCTAGGATGTATTGGTCATTTGGATAACTCTCATTATAGAACTGGTATTCATGGTTGGTATTTAGAATGTTGTGTAGGTGTTTAACTTACTTCGATTACTCTTTTAAAGATCTAAAGGCGTGATCAAGTAAATGCACGCGAAACTAAATTGCATGAATAAAGTTCAATTGTAAAGACATGTAAAACTGTAGAAAAGACAAGTAAATGACTTCGAAGCATAAAAAACATGTAATGTAAAAGATTCTCTGGAATGTAAAAGATTCGAAATATGAAGAAAGCGTTTAAATGCAAGAAAACAGTAAAATGACTCTAAGTGAAAAAAGGTTTTCGAATGATAAAAGCTTGAAGATAAAGGCATGTAATGTGCAAAAGTTTCTGAAATGTAAAGTATTTGAAATGGAAAGAAAGCATTTAAATGTAAGGCATCAGTAAAAAGACTTCGAATGAAAATATTTTAATGCAAAAGCTTTTGAATGGTATTGACATGAAGATAGAGGAAAATACTGGAAATGATAAAGAGTTGTATTAAATCATAAACACTTGGTGTTATCATACGTACATTGCTCGTGCATTCGTTTCCCTAGCCATGTGGTATTTTGAATGTTTACTGAGTTTTTTTTGTACAATAGATATGACACACGAAATCCTAATGCTAAGACTTCTATTTATACTACTTCGACCATAACGGTCTTGCTATAAGATTTTGCCACGTTCAGAACATGCAGAGCAATGCCTCTCTCTAGCTTCCACGCGTCTTCGAATGCTCCAACGCATATATTTTAAATTTCGAACATCCCGCTTGCATTTGAATTTCAAATGTTTTGGCACTTCTTCGCTTCGAACGCATTTCTTGGACACAACCTTGTTAACATTTCGAGACTTCTTTGAATATATTCTCATAACTGTCACTCGAAGCTCCAAGCTTTGATATGCCCATTCGAAGCACTGCTTCTACCATTTCGAAACATGACATCTTGCTTTATTCCAATCGAAACGTCCAATTTGTTTCGCTTATAATAATATCATCAGAATCTTCAGCCAACAATTATATGCTCCATTTGAATCGTCGTCTCCCATATTCCCAAACTTTTGAGTCTCTTAGACCTAATCAAAAGAACAAATATGATATTAATTTTTTAGTGAGAATAAGGAGTAGAGAAATATTCTAGAGAGTTGTGAATAGACTATTTTAAAATATTTATCGATTTTCAAAATGAATAATCAGAGTTTTTAGATGCGGAAGTCTTATAGAAAAAACGAAACTTTATGCTTGAATTGGAAATTATTCACTGATACAATTATGCAATTAACAAATATTTATGATTGATTAGAAATTGTATCCAAAGAGTTACAAACTACAACGAATTGACAATTAAAAAATTATAAGAGATGTCCTCTTTACAAAATTCAATTGCTATAGGATTCTGACACTGCTAGTTTGTATATTTTATTCATCACTAAAACACAAACGAGTTCCATCTCCAACAAAACCTATACTTATGTAATTAATCGCTACCAACAAGAATTAGCAATAAACTACACTATGAAACGATTACCTAAACATGCAATAATCTATGAAAATTATAATGAGAGAGAGACAGAGAGTACACCAAGACATATAATGATTTGACTTTATCGTCATTACAAGAGCCTACTCCACTCTTCAATGGTTTTCTATTGAAAGTTTTTCTTCGTTTATATTTTAAAAAATATTACGCGAGTTCATACAATCATTGAATCCACAATAATGTTGAAAAAATAAATCTCCTATCTAGATCTTGACTTGTATACAACTACGAAATCAAACTTTCTACAAAATATTTACTAGATTAACGCTTATAGAATCTTCTACCTTCACCAATTTACTCCAAGTCTTTTTATGTGAGAATCCCCATGATACCACTAATTTCTTGAGAGATGAATTATTTAAAGATTGAGAAAAACTTCAACCTTATCTAGAAAGTGGAAATAAGAAGACTCGAATTTTCATCTGAAGTAGTGGGAGTGACAATTATCCTCTTACCACGGGGTCAGAAAGAGTAACCGGATACCTCATATTGATTTCCGATAAAAAAAATACCATATATCTATCCGTTGGACCTCACCCACATGTCTCAATCCAACGTTCGAAATGAAACCGCCAAAAGAACAAAACCAACATGGACCCCGCCAACAACATCACTGGTCCCCCACCTCGAATTTCAAAATTTCAAATATCCTTTCATTAAAGCGAATAAACCATCAAAACGCTGCGTATTATCACCCTCTCTGTTCTTCACAAAGTTTACTAGAAAACTGATTCGTTTGGTTTGTAGTTCGCGTTTCGCGTTCTACGTCGTCGTTTTGATCTACTAAATTCCGAGAATCTAGGGTTTGGTTGGTTTTATACAAAATGACAAGTATGGAGAGTTTGATTGGGTTGGTGAACAGAATCCAGAGAGCTTGTACCGTGCTTGGTGACTATGGAGGTGATGATGGGAGCTCGTTCTCTTCTCTATGGGAAGCTCTTCCTACTGTTGCTGTTGTTGGTGGACAGGTTCTGTTCTTCAATTTATTGTTCGCTCCGACACCGGACACGACACTGATAATAATTTAAAACATGTGCAGAGTTCAGGTAAGTCTTCAGTTTTGGAAAGCATTGTTGGTCGTGACTTTCTGCCTAGAGGATCAGGTTTGACTTATAATAAACTTTTTCGTTTTCTTTGACATTTTTCTCATTTTTTCCTCAACTTGGTAATTACGGTTTGGCCCATGTTTTTTTTTTTTGGTGTGAATGAATTTTAGGGATCGTGACAAGGCGTCCATTGGTGTTGCAGTTGCATAAGACGGAAAGTGGGACACAAGAGTATGCTGAGTTTCTTCATCAGCCAAGGAGGAAGTTCACTGATTTTGGTATGATCACAGTAACCCTCCATACATACCCTCAATCATAGGACAGCTTCTATTTTCTGGTGGTTGCCTGTAAAACAATTATTCACGCGTGTTACTATATTCCGTGTTTATAGTGTCTAAATTTGAGTGTAGCCGGTGCTCGCACGAAACCAAACTATTTAACTACTGTTCTTGTTATGCTTTTCTTGTGTCAACTTTATTTGGCATTATCTATTTGACATTTTGACATTGATGCTATTCTTTTAATGCCACCCAAACCTTTTTCTTCGGTTTTATATTATCTGCTTGTTATGGTTTTCGTAGTGTATTCTGTTCCTTGTATTATAATCATGAAAAATTCAATTTTAACATGTCCAACATATTTGATTTTGGAGGGGTTCTAGTCAACTTGTCTCTAAACACATCTCAAGTGCTAACATCACTAGCTAGCAATTTATCATGTGATAACTGTTATACTGCCGATTAGTTTACCATTTTTAGGATTTGTATTCATTAACCTTTTTTATGTTTCTGCATCAGAATATATATATAGATGTTGTTCACTACAATCTGCTTTTCCCATTGCAGCCTTGGTCCGCCAGGAAATTCAGGATGAAACTGATCGAGTAACAGGGAAGACAAAACAAATATCTCCTATTCCTATTCATCTCAGTATTTATTCCCCGAATGGTGCGTTTCATCTATTATAGTCTCCTTTTTGTGAGAGCTTTTAAAGCCATAGAGTTTGTTGTGTAACTTTAAGTTGGTCACATAGTATAGACTTGAACTAGTTTTACATATGTTTAGCTTTTCTAAGTTTTGTTTTCAAATAAGTCAGCATCATTGCAGCTATTTATCTATTTTGGAGGTTGCGGAACAGAACAATTCATTATTTTAGGGTTGATATAATTTTATAATCACCAAGTGTATTCAGGCATGTATTCGTTTGCAGTATTATATGGAACCTGATGAGACTAAAACAGCTGTGACTTAAAGCTTCTTCTTTTTGTTTTTGTGAACAGTTGTCAACCTAACCTTGATTGATTTACCCGGTCTGACTAAAGTGGCTGTAGGTATGATTTGTATTTAATTGCTAAAAATCAATTAATTGGATGGAATGATGATTTTTAGAAGCTAAATATTCATCTCTTTTTCAGAAGGACAGTCTGAGAGTATTGTTCAAGATATTGAAGCTATGGTCCGATCTTATGTTGAGAAGGTTAAATACTTCTTCAATATCATATATACATTTCATTATAAATTCAACATAAATTTTTGAAATTTAGGATGCAAAATATTGTTATTTAGAAATCAAGAAAGGTATACCATAGGTTGTCAAAAGGGCACGATTCTCAAACGTGGCTGAGACTGTGCCCAAAACGATTGTTAACGCTATCCCCTCTCAATTAAAAAAAAAAAACTTGGTTCCAACTGCTAGTAAATCACATATTTTTTATCCGTTTTCCATAGTTTCCAACAGACACGCATTTGTTTTGCAATGCCCCTTCCATCTATACAGGTGTTTTATCTTACTTTGCTCCTCAGTCTCACTCTCACACCTCCCTTTGTCTGCCTTCTCTGACACCTCTATGCATTTTCCGGCTGTATTTTCATGACTCGTGGTATTGACTTGTTAGTAGTTATTCCTTTAGATTAAGCTAGGACTTTTGGATATATTTACGAATGAGTACTTTTATGTGTGCGACTTATATTATTTGCAGTGTCCTTCAGATTTAGTATAGTTGCCACTCCACTATCCATTATAACGTTTTTCAGGTCAACGGCTAGACCCGTTATGGGCATTTGTCTAGGCTTGACACCATGTTATGTACATCTAGATATGCTGCTGGATCTGGATTTTTTGTTTGTTTAGTGATTATGTAAAGAAGACCTATTATGCACCTGAAGTTGTGAACGCATGATAAACCTATTTTCTTGACATGATTGAATGGGTAAAGTTGATCTTAATGTTAACTTTCTCAATTCTTCTAGATCTTTGGAATCAGTAGGTTGTTTGTGATATTTTGATGCTCTACAGGGTACTTCAGTCCTATCACAACCTTTTGGATTTTAATGAAATATTAGATGATATTTTTTTTCCGAGACGAGAGCACATTTCTTTTGTACTGATAATCCCAATGGTTAATATTCTTTTCTTTCAATTGCTTTATTCTCAACAGCCTAATTCCATCATTCTAGCAATATCTCCAGCCAATCAAGACATAGCAACTTCTGATGCTATCAAACTTGCCAGGGAAGTTGATCCTGCAGGTACTTTTTTTAATGCTTTTCTGAATGGCCAATAATATCCTTGCTGGTTCATAATTTTGGACTTTAAATTCTGGTCTAATGACCACTCTAGGTGAAAGGACATTTGGAGTGGTGACAAAGCTAGATTTGATGGACAAAGGAACTAATGCGTTGGATGTAATTTTTCTCTCCTCTTGTTTGTGTTGATTCCTATCCCTTTAATGTCCATATTTGAAATACGCATGTAAAATCATGTAACTTATTTGTTCATCTTATCTGCTTTTACTCCCTCTAGGTCCTGGAGGGAAGATCTTACCATCTGCAACATCCTTGGGTTGGCATAGTAAATCGGTCTCAGGCAGACATCAATAAAAATGTTGATATGATTGTTGCTAGGCGCAAGGAACGTGAATATTTTGCAACCAGTCCTGATTATGGGCACTTGGCCAATAAAATGGGTTCAGAATACCTTGCAAAGCTTCTCTCCAAGGTTTCCTTCTTAAGTGTGTTCTTTGCTAATCTTTTATGAGATGGATTATCATCTTAATCACGTGAGCTTATTTTTGTAGCACTTGGAGTCGGTAATTAGGGCAAGGATACCTAGTATAACTTCTTTAATAAACAAAAGCATTGAGGAACTTGAATCAGAGATGGATCATCTTGGGAGACCCATTGCTCTTGATGCTGGGGTGGGTGGCTTGTAATTTTGATGATTTCTTTTTAAGAGTAAGGCTCTTACTCTGATGTCATGTGGAATATTTGCTGAACGTTACCATCTGTTTCAGGCTCAACTATACACTATCCTAGAACTTTGCCGAGCATTTGAAAGAATATTCAAGGAGCATTTAGATGGAGGGTAAATCTCTTCTATTGTTTTCTATTTTTATGCCGTTTTCTCAAATTGGACAATGCTATGTCCTATCAAGGTCAGATAGGGGATGTAAACACAAACTGTGAAGCTGTAACATGGAATATATGATCATCCGTTAAAAATAGAAATTTCATATTCATCACAATAGTATATTAAATCTGTCAAATAGCAGTGTGTATGTAGTAGACAGGTAGGGCATTGCATTGTGGAGGTCTGTTGCTCATTTGCATTGTGTCATGATTGGGATTTTGCAATCTTGCAATAGAGGTATTTCCTCTCTTTATACTACCTAGTTCCTGTCCGAGCTTGTTCTTATTTAAACAAGGCGATGTAAATTGCTGTATAAGGCGATGATGAGATAGTGTACTAGCTGAAATGTTGAGTGGTCTGTCTGTTCTACACTTATGCTGAATAAACACTATTTCCACTAAAAGGAACATTTGATGCAGTTTGCCCACTGCATAAGGTAAAACAAGCTTAGCCGAGGCAAATTGAAATGATTGTTTTGGATGTAAGTTTGTTATCACTGATGAGCTGGTTGATAGTTCTTTATGTTCACACAAATTTCTTTTAACTTTTAGGCGGCCAGGAGGTGACAGGATATATAATGTCTTCGACAATCAGCTTCCCTCTGCATTACGGAAGCTTCCATTTGATCATCATCTTTCTCTCCCAAATGTAAGGAAAGTCGTGTCAGAGTCGGATGGTTATCAGCCTCACTTGATTGCCCCAGAGCAAGGTTACAGGCGCCTGATTGAGGGGGCTCTTGGTTACTTTAAAGGCCCAGCTGAAGCTTCAGTAGATGCTGTAAGCAGACTTTCTGTCTTCTCTGATTTTTTATTTTCATGTGAAAATTAAAGAAGTGAACTGGCTGCTCTTGATTTTTCTGTAGGTTAATTTTGTCTTAAAAGAACTTGTGAGAAAATCAATAGCTGAAACTCAGGTAACTTTCAGGAATATATTTTATACTTACCTTGTTCATGAAGTCACAGTTTGTGGAAATACTAACATGTGTTTGAGCAGGAACTGAAACGATTTCCAACTTTCCAAGCTGAACTAGCTTCAGCAGCAAATGAGGCTTTAGAAAGGTTTCGTGGGGAAAGTAAGAAGACAACTCTCCGGCTTGTAGATATGGAATCTTCGTATCTCACTGTGGATTTCTTCCGGAGACTACCTCAGGAAGTGGAGAAAGCTGGAAGTCCTGCTCCCTCAAATGTAGATCGATATGCAGAAGGTCATTTCAGGAGAATTGCATCAAATGTCTCGTCTTACATAGGATTGGTGGCAGACACGCTTAGGAACTCAATTCCAAAGGCTGTTGTTTATTGTCAGGTCAGACAAGCAAAACAGTCTTTGCTTAACCATTTCTACGCACAAATAGGGAAGAAAGAGGTATATTTTCTCTTGCTCTCACTCTATGTCTGTTATTTATTACTTGATTTCAGATGTTCATGATTGTTAATGTCAAATTTAACTTGTTTTTTTCTAATATAGTTGTTTAAGCTTACCCTTTAAGATTCATCCAAATCGACAGTAAAACCTAAGTATATATAGCTTTGTGCCGCCTCTATGATACTTGCTTGATCTATTCACCCTTCACCTTGTTTTGGTAACAAACTAACAATTTTATAGTTGTTTGGGGTAGTGTCATACTCTTGAGAGGCACTCAGTTACGTGCAATTTTATAAAAGAAAGTATAACAATGTTGACAAGTCATGTTATATGCACCAATACAACAATTGTTGCAATTAATTCCTCTATCTGTTGGGTCAAATTCAGTACTAATCTACTAGTCTATGAATGCAAAAACTATATACTTTGTTGATTGTGATAGTTTGAGTGAGCTGTGAAGAGAAGTTACAAATGATGCATCATGGTTTTTATTTTGGTGGTAAATTTATCTTAATTTTATAGGGTAAACATCTATCTCAAATGTTGGATGAAGAGCCTGCATTGATGGAGAGGAGAATTCAGTGTGCAAAAAGGCTGGAACTATATAAAGCAGCAAGGGATGAAATTGATTCTGTATCTTGGGTGCGATAAAGCGTAGCCGGATGTCTTCCTCGCCTTGGACTAACTGATAACAATTATGGGTTGCCTTGACCCATAAGTAATTTACATATTTGTTATTATTTTATTGTTGGCTTGCTTCTACGCTCAACATTCCTTTCTTTGTTTCAATGCTTCAACTATCAGCTTTTCAAATTTCAAATCTTCTACTTTGTTATTATTACACAAACTGAATATTTATTGATAGTATAGGACAAATCAATTTTGACATTTAATGTCCATAAAAAAATAGCATTTAATATTCTGCATAGTATAAATTTATTTTCTAATATTATATTGATCTCTTTTGTCAATTGATTGATCTTAGTTGCATTTTGCTTTTATAATTTGCACAAATATCAAAATGTGCTTCTGATTTATGGAGAATTTGAAATGATATAAAGGAGTATAAGTCCATGCTTTTTACCACTATTCCCTTTCAAATCAAAACCACTATCAATAATATTAGATTTATATCACACTTCTTCAAAATAGTCTGGTATGAATATTTTCTTATAAGGACAAAATATATATTTTTTAAAGCAAGGCTATGTGAGAGAATTTTTTTATATATTATAAAAATGTGTATATGATTTACATAGTTTCAATTTTTCTATTGATAAACAATTTTATTTTGATTTCTTTATAATTTTTTTATTAAGATTTCTTTACTATTTTATTTTAATACAAATGTATTGATTCAAATATTTTTATAAACGAGAAAAATATATTGTTGATACAGATATTTTTATAAACAAAAAAATATATATTATTGATACAAATATTTTTATAAACGAAAAACAATACTGTTGAGACAAATCTTTTTATAAATATGAGAAAAAAAAGGTATTGTTAATATAAATATTTTATAAACAACAAATTTTTATATACGAAAAAAGTTTATTATTTTAGAAAAATCATAAATAATTTTACAAGTGTATAATAGATTTTATACGGTTTGATTACATATTGCAGTGTCAATTTTTTTTACCTATCTTTTAAGGCTTCTTTATGTCAAAGTGGAAATAGGTAAAATGGTTCTCTTGAAAAGACAAATGATTAGACTTTAGATTTAAAATTATACATAACAAAAGATTACAATCTACTATGTCAAAAATCTAATCATTTAAATTTATTTTATTTGCTGATATCAACAATATATATATATATATATATATATATATATATATATATATATATATATATATATATATATATATATATATATATATATATATATATATATATATATATATATATATTCTAAAATAGGTCGACATTTGTCTTATTGTTGGGGAGGTCCATCTAGTGCCTTTACAAAAACCGTGTTGCTCAAACTGAGGACCGTACGAGACTATTTTTCTTCATTGTACATGTTCCTTTTACGTTTAGGGGACCGTTGCTGTTTGCGCGGGGGAGTGTGACCGCGTTTCTTGACAACCTCGAGATGAGTCCTCTCCAAAGCGGAACCTCGCCCAATACGACAGAGAGTAGGGCTCTGAGACTCGTCCTGTCGGTGTCTCCGCGGGGGAGAGCGGGAACGATTTTGTCGGGGAGGAGGAGTTTGTGAATCTGGTCTTTTGTACTTTCTGGGGGCCCGACAAGTCTGCTCCAGCATCATCAGTCGCTCATCCTGTGAGAAGATCATGTAATTGGTCTGATTGATTGCTGCGAACAAGGCTCTGGTCGTGGCGTCAATACCTTCAGGAACGAGGATCTTCTGATATGCATTGAGTTCATAATTTTGCGGAGGATGGTAGTCGTCTTCGCGTGGTTGCGAGCGGGTGGATGAAGAAGCAGTTAGTTCGTCCACGTGGTCTTACTCGGGAACGGCCACATTGTTGTTGTTGCCAGCATTGTTGTTGCTGCCGTCGGTGAAATGGACATTTTGGTTACGTTGATAGCTGGGAACAACCTGAAGGCTGAAGATGTTGCTTTGATCTTACGTGAATGAAAGACGGGGAAACTGAACTTTCCACAGATGACTTGACTGATCATACCATATTAGAAGAGATTGTCAAGGACCACGAGCTTTAAGTCAAGCAGTGGTTAAATGTGAAGTGGGGGAGGGGGTACCTGCAAGATACTCTGATGTCAAAGTAAGATTCAGAGTAAGTGCAAGTAAAACGTGAGAGTATGAGTGAATGGATGAATATATATCCTTCTCAAATGAGAGGGTATTTTTAGCCCTCAGCGCTGAGCCAATGTCTCAGTAATGAACTACGATGAGGCTCAATAACGAAGACGGCCAGAGTTTACGAATGTATGAAGTCCAGCACATGACCTCCTCTCTGGTCAACTGCTCCGAGAAAGCAGAGAAGTTGGATCCATTATTTTTAGAGGGTAGAATAATGACGTTATGAACACAAATCATGTTCTCCTAATAGACATGTCGAAAAATACCCAACAGTCTTCAATTTGAACCGTACGCTTTTGGACATATATATATATATATATATATATATATATATATATATATATATATATATATATAAACATTTGAGTGTAATGATCATATAAGATATTATAAAAATCTCTTCCACTACTTTCTCCCTTTCAAAATAAGAGTCTTATAATAATTAGTTCTAAAATAAATATTGTTTTTATGATTGAATGACTTATAGCGTTTATGAGTTATATTTCTTGACATTAAGGTATCTATTTCATATTTTTTAAGTTTTATATTAAGGGTTGTATTTCATTTTCTATTCCTTATGTTATAAAATGTATAATGGTTTTAACTTAGCCACCCTATTTCTCTGCTGCGACAAGACGACACATCTCTATTTCTTCGAAAGTAACCAGTTTACTTGCTATATTCAAATGGTATGGCATGATATTTAGGTTCCCAATATGAATTATATTATTATGTTATTCACTGATAAAATTATATAAACAATAATATAGAAAGAGTCTAAAAATGAGTCAAAAATATTTTCATTAAATCAAAAATATTAAAATTAATAAAAATATGAATTTACTTATCAAAATATTAAATATTAATATTTTGATAAGAGTCCCACATCGGACAATATATGTGTTTATAAGTGGGGGCAATCCTCACCCTACAAGCCGATTTTGTAGGGTTGAATTAGGCCCAACCACATCTTAATATGGTATCAGAGCCTCGTTTAAGATCCAGTGGGCCATCCACCATTTATTTTCACGCTCTAGTTGTCTAGTCCTGAGCGTGAGAGAGTGTGTTAAGAGTCTCACATCGGACAATATATGTGTTTATAAGTGGGGGCAATCCTCACCCTACAAGCCGGTTTTGTAGGATTGAATTAGGTCCAACCACATCTTAATAAATATGAAGTTACTTATCAAAATATTAAATATTAATAAGAATTTAAAATTAATGATCAAAATGTTGAATATTAACGAGAACATGTAGTTACTGATCAAAATATTGAATATTAACGAGAATCAGAAGTTACTGATTAAAATATTTAATATTAACATGAATATGAAGTTACTTATCAAAATATTGAATATTAACGAGAACAAGAAATTATTAATCAAAATATTGATTATTAACGAAAACATTAAATTATTGATCAAAATATTTTTTTATTAATTATACATTCAATTTTTTTAGGGGTAATCAGATATTTTTCTATTACAAAATATAAATCTGAAACAAATGCGTATCTCATACTAGAACTCGTACGAACGAACAAATTTATTAGTAAGAGTTAAATTAGTTTTTTGACTGACCGTGTGATGTACATTCAATACAGACTAAAATCTTAACCGTGTTATGTATAATAAATTTGCATATTCTCTCTGTATTCCGAGTCTTGGTTGTGTTATAGATTCTTGAATATTGGATATACCATTTTAGTGTTACATGCTTTATCTGATTAACAAGTGCAGGCAAATTTGACAAAATAGTAATCTGCAATAAACATGACAGATTCAGAGCTAACAACCACTCATGAGACAAGATAAGAGGTATTACAACTCAACATGTTAAGCACTGATAAGAGGTATTACTTATCTTTTTAAATGCAGTTTTTTATTTATTTTGTTAATGCTTTAATTATCAGCTGATCTATGCAAGTTTACCTTCAAAAGCAGTTCATTTAAACCTGCACTAACAGCTCCTGACGGGTCACTTAATTAGTATTAACATTTTTTCCTTTTTCTTTTTGTAACGAGATTAAAAACAAAAAGTTAAGGCATGGCTACATGAGATGAAGTTTTTTTAAGTCTTGCTTCAAGAAATAAACTTAATATTAGCAAAAATAACATTTAGTTTCGCAAGGAAGAAGAAAACCATATCATGGTTTTTCAAAGAGAAATTTCTTTTTCACCCTTATGGTTTGGGACGCATCTCTGAAAGCTTCAAAATATCTTTGATTTTATTCGAAGATATATCTTCGAACGCATCGAATATTATTTTTTGTTAAACTTTAGTTTGGAGATACAACTGCGAATTTTTCTGAGGTAAATTTACATACATCTCCGAAGTCACATTTTTTCCTTCGTAAATCAAGTAGCCACTCTATTTCCGAAGACAAAAAATAGTCTAAAGATGCATCAACGAATATTTGTGGATTAAATTCAGAGATATATCTCCGAAGTCTTGTCTACATTTTCTTGTGCATAAACATTGTATTGAGTTTGTAGTTGTTTGAATCCAACGTAATTTTAATTCGATTAACACTGTCATTATTTGTTTCAAAGATTAATAAACATGAATATCATAAAACCAAGTAATGCCTTAATTAAAAAGAAAGATAATCATAGTATAAAAATTGTTCTCAAAGTATGAAAAACTTTACCGAATCATCTCAAAATACAATCAAATGCATAATCTACTGAGTATACCTAATCATAACACCTTGACTTCTCCTCTGCCGACAGTAACCCAAGGCATTTTGTGCCTCATCGCCACCTCTCTCAAACAACTCAAACTATATGCCCTCTCATGTCATTTACATAATATTCTGACAGATTGGCAACACATCAACGATATGGTCATCTATGAT